CTCTTCATCTTCTGTCACTGAGATGTTCTGCCACTCTCTCCTCCTTTACATCTGTCTCACGTGATGAAGTGACCTTACTCCTACTTGTTCAGAGGATCTTATTCCATCCCATCTCCTCTGATGGAGGATTACGTCCCCTATCATCCATACCCTTTCACTTATTTTTCAATCTCTCCCTCTCTATTGGCTCATTTCCCACTGCCTACAAACATGCCCCTGACTGTCCCCCATTTTGGAAAAATCCTTACTTGATCTTTCCATCCCAACTATCATCCTATATCTCTTCTGCCCTTTGAAGCTAAACTCCTTTAAAATCTACAATAGGTACCTCCACTTTGTTCTCACTCTTAAAACTGCTCTTTCCAAAGTCACTCATGATCTCTTAGTTGCCAAATCCAATGGCCTTTTCTCAATCCTCATTCTCGACTTCTCTGCAGCCTTTGACACTACTGATCACTCCTTCTTCCTTGATACTCTCTTCTCCCTGTGTTTTTGGGACACCATTCTCCCCTTGTTTTCCTCCTTCCTAGCTGACCTTTTTTTCTCTCCTTTGATGAATCCTCCTTCAGATCATTCCCCCTAACCATAGGTGTTCCTATGATTCTGTCCTGGGCTGCACTTTTCCCTTCATATTACATTATTTGGTGATCTCATCAGCTCCTAGGATTTAATTACCATCTCTATGCTGATAATTCTCAAATTTTATCTATCTTGCACTAAACTCTAGGCTGACTTCCAGTCTCACATATTCAACTACTTTTCAGATATCTTGAACTAGATGTCCAATAAACAACTCAATGTTTCCAAAATGGAACTCATTATCTTTCCCCCTAAACTCTCCCCACTCCTTACTTTCCCTTATTGTAGAGAGCAACATTCTCCTAGTCCCTCAGGCTCACAACCCATGAGTTTCCCTGGACTCCTCACCATCTCTTACCACCCCCCCATATTCAATCCCTGACCAAGGCCTGTCAATTTTACCTTTGCAACATCTCTTGTATATGCCCCCTTCCTTCCTCTAACCCTGTCACCACCCTTGTACAGGCCCTCATCACCCCCATGCCTGGACTATTACAATAGTCTGCTGTTAGGTCTGCCTTCTTCAAGTCTTTACCTATTCCAATCTATCCTCAATTCAGCCACTGAAGTGATTTTCCTAAAATGAAGGTCTGACACCCTCACACACACCCCTTCCCCCTCAACAGACCCCAGTGACACATGATTGCCTCCAGAATCAAATATAAGATGCTCTGTTTGGCATTCAAAGCCCTTCATAACCTAATCGCCTCCTACCTTTCCAGTCTTCTTACATCTTACTTCCCCAGGTATACTCTTTGATCCAGTAACACTGGCCTTCTGGCTGTTCCATGAACAAGACACTCTATCTCTTGGCTATGAGCATTTTTTCTGGTTATCCCCTATGGCTGGGACCCTCTCCCTACTCCAAACACTGACATTCCTTCAAGTACCAGCTAAAATCCTACCCCAACCCCTCTGAATTCCAGTACCTTTCTTTCCTCTGTTAATTTGAGTATTTGAGTATTTATACTACTCAGAATAACTTAGTTGTTCATGGTTATTCTTTGAACAATATTGATGTTGCTTTATACAATATTCTCTTGGTTCTGCTTTCATTCTTCATTATAAAATTTGCTGTTCTTATACATATCAAATAATAGTCACCTATTTATGCACCCTCTTCCTTTAAAAAAATCAAAAGTAAAAAAGTGTCTTAGATTGAGAGCTGGAGGGGACCTCAACTCTCATGTAGTCTAATATGTTCATTTTTTGGAGTAGGAAATTGAACCCAGAGAGGTGATGTCACTTGTAGAAGATCACTGAGGTAGTAAATGATTGGACAGGGAAAAGGGCCAGTGCTCTTTTCCACCCAGTGTCACTCACTGAACATCTTAGCTAGAAATATTTCAAATCCCACATACCAACCTAATACTACTTTGATTTTGACTTCTATCTATTAGTAATTTCATAGACTCAACCATGGCTTGGTTAAAGAAACTTCTTGTCAGTTATGTAAAACTAAGATTGATGCCAGCTTTTTATGTCATTCACTTAAAATAATGAGCACTTCTTTTTGCTCACGCTTTCCAAAGGAAATGTGTTTAAAAAAAAAAAAGGCAACCTGGTCATTTAAAATAATTGGGCCAGAAGTTAACCAGCTCTCTACATAGAATGTTAAATCATTAAATAAGATTAGGTAATTCTTGGAAAACTTTGGTTTTGAGTGTGGAAAGTGTCTGACTTTTCTTTATGTCTCTCCATTGCCTATGCCTGGGCTTTTAGATTGATTCTTCCCTGAATGTTTCTATTATCCAGGTTAAGTGCCGATCCTGGAGTCTGGAAGACAAATCTGATCCCAGACACTAATTAAGTGTATGACCCTGGGCAAGTCACTTAACCCTGTGTGCCTCAATTTCCTCATCTATAAAATGAGTTAGAGAAGGAAATAGTAAACCACTTCATTATCTTTGCAGGAAAACTCCAGATGGGGTCACAAAGAATCGGACATGTCTGAACAAAATCAGGTGTGATGTTCTGAGACCCACAACACCCAGCCACCCCTTGCTAAAATCTGTGGTAATAAATTTCACTTCCCTAAATTCCTATTGCAAAATGGCTTTTCCAGCTATTTTAAGCCCAGTACGTGGAAGTAACTCAAGTAACACCTTTTCAGAATACCAAACTAATGTAATTTGTCTTTTCTGATGGAGCATAGATAGCTGTAATAAATAACTATAGACAGGTGTAGAATAGCTGTAGGTAGGTTGGTAGGTAAGAAACTATAGCTAAGTACACAAAGTAGACAGACAGACAGATAGATAGATAGATGGACATAGATATAGGTAGCCTTAAAATTCAAGCTGAGGAAAAACTTCCGATTAGATCCATTAACTAAATAAAGGACTGATACTGTATAATTGTGTGTTTGTTATTTAGTGCAATTATGATAGAAATCTTAGTCCCTGCTGTTAGGAGGGTAAAAGTTGAACCTTCTCTTAAGAAGATCTATTGTCTTCCCGGATTATTTAACCTCCTACCCTCTCCTCCACACCTCCCTCTTCCATTTTAAATGCAGATAGGCCTGAAAGTTATTTTGAATTTGAAGTATCCAATCTTGCCTTCTGGCTCTTTGGGGGGGGGGGGGCTATCCTTTTATCACGGGTTTTCAATGGTAACCCAGCCCACCGAGATTCCATTTAGTCAATCTCCTAAGGGCTTCCCGGCCCCATTCCAGGTGTTTTGTGCTTTTTTTTTTATTTTTAGAATTTAGTTCTGACCTCAGAGTTTACCATCAGCTACACAACCGAAAAGCTACTGCCTTTTTTTTAAAACCAAAGTATCACTTATTTGTGTATCCTTTGAATGCAAACTTTTTGACAAGATAAGTTATTATTGAATTCCAATATTGGGGTGGGAATTCGTAGCCTAAGGGAAAGGTTCAAGAATATGGCAATTCCTCATTGTCTAAAACGATGGAGGGTCGATCCGGAGGCCTCTAAAATCCCAGCTCTTAATCTCTGATCATATAGAATTCAGGCTATAGGAGTCAACATGTTTTTGTATTAGTTAAAAAAAAACATTCACTGACCTACAGGGCTATGCCACATGGTCTTCTCTAGCAGCTGATTAGCTGTGTGCAGCAGATGGGATTGTTTGTACGTTCTCCTAATTTATGATTGTTTTCCCCTACCAAGTCTTTTTTTTTGTTAATGATTTTTTAAAGACTTCCCTCTTTTTAAGTTTGTCTCCGTTTTTGAAAAAAAAAAAAAAACGGAAATCAAAGTGTAACTTTATGGGATTTCATTTCGATTCCAGCTCTAAAATTTTGAATGAATGTTCGCGCTCCCTACCTACTCTTACTATCCAAATCCGTGAGACACGTTTCGTGAAACAACTCTTGGTGTAGAGTGCACGTTTATCTTTTTTGCAATCTACTGCCCGCGGAGTCATAATCCGGACTCAGGCTTAAACGTGTGGTGGGTTTGTTTTTCTGTGTCAATCGTTTATTTGTGTGGATGTGATCACACACACACACACACACATACTCACTCTCTCTCTCTCTCTCCTCTCGGAGATTCCAAACTTAATTCTTTGAGTGCAATAAGGATTGCAAGGGCTGTTCCGTGGTCTGCAAGTGGCCAGAGTAGTCACACTTTTCCAGCCCCTGCCCGGGTCGCCTTCTGTCTCCCTCTCCGCCCGACTGCATGGCGGATCCGGACAGAGGAGAAGGTGCTTCAGTCTTCCCTGGTGCTCCAAAGCAGTATTTTCCTAAGCCCCTAGTGGGCTTTTTTAGAGCTGCGGATTTGTGCAAGCATTTTACAGTCAAGACTGTTAAGCAAATTACGTGGGAAAGACACGGGAGGGGAAGAAAGCGAGCTAATAATGCACGCTGCTTACACCGTGTAAAGGGTTGGGGAACCCTAAAGTGTCGTGTTTCCCGTGGCAGTCCAGCATGAGCGATCCTGTTTTGGACGGCACGTGAAAGGGGAAAACACGGACCGCGTGGCCGTTTCCCAGCTCCTCGGAGGGCGCGGGCGCGGCTGTGGGAAGCTGGGGCCGGGCTCCGTGGCTCCCCCACGTTAAGAGCTGCAAGCGAAGCCAGATCAGTTAGGCCTCCGCGCGCGCAGCTCCTCCCCAGGGAAACTTACTGGGCGGGGAGTCCCCACGGGCTGGGGCCGGGGAAGAGCGGCGGCGCCGCTTTCACTGGAAACGGGCAAAGCCATCCCACGTGGAGCTGCGCGCTAAAGGCGCCTGCATCAAGGCAAAAAGTCTCCTTCCCCAGCCACATGTCCCTTCTTGTGCGCGCTTCCCCCCGGGGCTGTTCACGCCCGAGCGCAGTCGCTCGTCCCGCGTGTGCCCCGCTGCGCCCAGGGAGGGGGAGGAGCGGGGTGGGGGGAGCGAGGCGGGGGAGGCGGAGGGGAGTTGGTGGTTACACTGCAGCGGGGGCTCCCTGTGTCCTTGTGCGGAAATGACACACGGAGTCCCGTCACGTCACGCGAGAGCGCAGCGCACGGACACACACAAAGAGAGGGGAAAAAACACGGCACCCGCCACCCCTAGCAACTCCCCGGGCCGCCCTAGCCAGGCCCTCCCCCCCACCCACTTATCCTGTGGACCCCTCCACTCCCCGGCCCCGTTCCCCAACACGCGCAGCCCAAACTCGACTGGGTCCCGCTCTTGCAAAGTACAGAACTCGTCCCAGGTAAGTGGGTGAGATAAATAAAAAGCGGCTGCAACGGCTGCAGCCACGGCAGCCGAGGATCTGGGGCGTCTGGGAGAAGTGGCTGCAACATCCATGCCGGGGGTGGGGGCGGGAGCAGGGGAGGGGACGGGAAAGGAAAGGGGGGTGTCCTAAGTGCGTTTGCCGGTGCACACGGGGGAAGCTCCTCGCTTTCCCCTCCCGGAGTGGAGGGAGCGGTGCTGCAGCCGGGGGAGAAGCGAGACGGGCGCGCGGGCTGCTACTGCCGCTGCTTCTCGCGCGGTCCGTTTCGCCCCATTGTGCGGCGTCTCCCTTTGTGCCTATTCAGAACTCGACTACATGGCGTACTGAGGAGCACGCGCCGGGGTAGAGGGGGTGGGGAGGGGGGGGCCGAAAGCGCGGAACGCGAGCGCGAGGAGGCTCCTCCATCAGGCCCGGGGAAAGGGAAGGCGGGTGGGAGGGGGGAGCGTGAAGTGGAACGGTCCGCTCGTCCGCTCGCCGGCTGGCCCCACTCCGCGCCGTCCTCCAGTTCACCCCCGCCGCTCCCCCTACTATGGAGTGGCCGAGGTCGGGCAGCAGCGGCAACGGCGGCTACTGCCGCCGCCAAGCCCGCGGAAGAATTCATAGAGCCCGGGGATGGGCTGGAGCGAGCCGATGTATGTGTGTGTGTGTGTGTGTGTGTGTGTGTGAGAGAGTGCTTGTGAGTCTTGTGTGTGTGTGTGAAGGGGCGGAGTCTAGGGTGAGATTTTGAGCTGAGCGACTGGGAACCGAGAGGAGCCACCGGCAAACAGACGCTCGGAGGAACCGAGCCTCCTCTGCGTCAATTCGCAGCGTACCCGGGAGAGGCGGCCGAGCCCGCCCCGCCGCCAGGGGGCGCTTACCTCCGTCCTCCCCGGCTCTCCCTCCCCCCCTTGCACGTTCCCGCTCTTGGTGGTCGCGCCTTTGCCCAGTCGAGATGCTTCCCAGCTCTGTCCAAAGGGAACTGGAGTAGGGGCTGACCCCTGCTGTCCTTTTCTCCTTATTCACAAACGAATACGCCGTGCATGCTGCACCCTTGCTTTATCAAACAGCGTAATGGAAATAAAGCACTTTGTACACCCTAAAAAGCAGTCCGCTGCTGTTAGCAAGCATCAGTTGCACCAAAATCCTCCCTGGGTCACACATCGGGAAAGCTGGGCAGTGCCCAATTGCACGTGGTATCCTGGGAAGCCGGCGTTGCATGTGCTTCTGAGCATATAGATCCTGATTTAAAAAAAAAACAACAACACGATGTTGATATTTCTAACAGGATAATAAGGACTGCGAGCTTTGGGGGGAGGAAACTGACTCCCCTCAGAGTCAAGAAATCACAGGACTTCCTTGGCAGTAGAAAACTGGGACGAGAAAGTAGTTACAGGATACATTTCCAGGCCTCTTGGGTAGGATTTAAACATTTTGACGTTTAGGGCGTCCAAGTTAGGTTTCTGCTTATTGTCAGAGATCTCTTTTGCTTTCCCCAACGAGGAGGTTTGAGTCAGAACAAGCATTGATCTTTTCCTTATCCTGGGATTTCAGTGGGATTTAAATGCCTGCCCTCTTGATAGGCAAGGGAATTCCAAAAGGTGATTGAGATGAAATTGGAAGCGAGCTTGGAAAACTTTAAATCGGCTTGGGAAAGTGAGCCACTCTTCAGATTATGAAAGAGCAGAGCTCCCCTCATCGATGCAAGTAAAAAGTTGATTTTGTATAATTAAAAAAAAAAAGACAGAAAAATGGCTTAGGGGTTTGAGGAAAGTGTGACAGCCCCTTTTCTGTGCAGTGGGTTGAAGATTGGAAAATGTGAATCTGGTTTATCTCTGACAGCCCTTAAGGATAGTTGCAATCCTTAGGAAATTTAATAATCTTTTCAGGAACTGTCCTCAGTCAGCAAACAGGTTTCCAGTGCCATCCACCTGCTTGAAAAGGCATAATTAAACAATGACTTTGGGGGAGGGGGTTTGTCAGGACATGGGAGAGTTAAAGCAAGGTCATTGATTTAAAATTGGAGGAGTCTTTGTAGATCCTCTAATCTATCCCCATCATTTTATGTGAGAGGAGGTTTAGGTAGTTTGAACCCAGGTTACCTGAGACTCCCCAAATCCAGCATATTTGCTGAATATCAACTGTCCAAGGTAAGGGCAACAGAGGAGAGCAGAAGCCAGAGGCATGCTTGTCATAGGGCAGATTTACCCATATTCCTAATTTAAAGAAAAGTGTACTTTAAAAAAAATTTTTTAATCAGTATTTTTTTGTTCCTTACATCACCATAGTATCCTATGTGCCTGTTCCCCTCCCTAAGAGCCATCCCATATGACAAATTGTATTTTTTTTTTTAGAGAGGGAAAAAAAAGTCACCACTAATGTATTGAGAAAGTTCAGAAAGTGTAATAGCTATGGAGTTCCTCCTACCTCCACAGTTTGGGGGTATCTTCTCATATCTCTTCGTTGAGTCCCAGAAAGTGTAATTTTTAACAAGACTTTGCAAAAGGAATATCCTTTGGAAAACCATGTGTTCATTTTTGGGGAGAAATCACAAATTGTACTTTTTGTGTGTTGGTAATCTAGTATATAAAGGATAAGAGTGGAAGGCATTTCCATTATACACTGTCATTCACCTCTCTGCCCTTAAGTACTTCTTAAAAGGTTGGGGGGAGGGGGAATGGCAAAAGGCTGGTACTAATAGCAGAAATTTTGAACGTGAAACCTGGTAAAAGTGTGATGAGATGGATGGAAAATCTGTCGAGGGTGTGGCTAACCTACAGAGCTCCATGGGTGACTCTTGAAGCAATCAGGATGTTATTCATTGTATTGATGCTCTGATTAAAAGTAGTCGTCTGCCCTTTGAAAAGCCTGAAATTATGTCACAATGGGAGCTCTAACCAACAATAATTCCACATTGAGAATCACAGTTATGTGGGAGCCAGAGGGGAGGGGTGAGAAATGAATAATATGTCAATTTCATCAGTGATACTGGTAAATCTTACTGTTGCTTAAATTAACTCAGTTTCCTCATTTATAAGATGAGGTTGGTGGAAATTATCTCTAAAATCCATTCCTTAAATGCCGACATTCTATAAATGTGTAAGATGAACCATCCTTGATCTGTTGGCTAAAATGGGGAAATTTTGTATTTCATTAATTCATCTTCTACTATTCTGTGATTATAACCAGTAAGAGCAGAATAGTTATAGACTTCATTATTTAAAAAGTTCTTTATTAATCCTTAATAGAATTGAATTAATGGGGCAGCTAGGTGGTGCAGTGGATAGAGCACTGGCCCTGAAGTCAGGAGGACCTGAGTTCAAATCCATCCTCAGACGAAACACTTGACATGTACTAGCTGTGTGACCTTGGGCAAGTCACTTAACCCCGATTGCCTCACTTAAAAAAAAAATAGAACTGAGTTAAGTAGTAGGTATTTCCAGCCCAATTTAATTCAGTTCAATTCAATAAACAATTAATTGCCTGCTATAAGTCTGGCACTGTGCTAAGTAATGAGCTGTACTGAACAGTAAAACCAGAGTTCAGATCTAGTCTCAGGCTCTTACTAGATGTGTGACCCTGGGCAAGTCACTTAACTTCTGCCTTAATTTACTGGAGAAGGAAATGGCAAATCACTCCAGTGTCTGTACCAAGAAAACCTGGATGTTTTCCACATAACCACGGGGTTATGAAGAGTCAGACATGACTGAACAACAACAACAAATTATATTCTCTATGACTGAAAGGGCCTCTATGACTGAAAATGCCTTTCTCACCTGTTGAATTCTTGTCAATCTGTTTTCAAAAGTTACTCCTCCATGAAGCTACCTTGATAAATCTTTCCCCCTCTAAAATGTAGCAATTTGTTTTATACTTTCTTAGGCATGTTCACTTCACCTCTCTCTGGACTTTACTTCCCTAATGTGTAAAATTAAGTGTTTGGACCAGTAATCTACAGTAGAATGCTGTGCCTGTTTCATTTTGTCTTTGATTATGGTGCATATACTTGCTAAAAATCCCTGTTCAATGTTGAAGGTTATTTCTAAGGCCATTTACAGCTCTCCACCTGTGATCTTTTCATTAATTAATTGTAGCAGAAATGGCACTAGGTTTAAAATCAGAGGTCTTACGTGAGTTCAAATGCTGGCTCTGTCACTAAAGTCTAGCCTGGGAAAATCACTTAACCTCTCTAGGTCTCATTTTCCTCATCGATAAAATGAGAGGTTTGGATAGGTGAGAGTTAAGGTTATCTGCCAGCTGTCGATCCTATGAATCTGATATTGCATATGCAGTATTTCTCATTTTGAAGTTAGTGTCTTAATATGCCCCATGAGCATAATCTGCTCTTACTCTGCCTATCTCTTTCCTCTCCAAATCTGACAGTGCCTTCTGATACTCCAGCATCTTTTACAACTTCATTATTTCAATCCATAGCTTTTGTGGTTTCTGGAATTGGCTGCTACATTGGGACCAGTGCATGCCAAGCTAATGTTGTTAACTCTTCAGTCTTAAAAATCAGAGGGAGAAGGAAGCAAAAAAAATGTTCATAATTTAAACAATGGCAATAAAAACGGCAAGCTAGGAAATTCATTATTTTAAAAAGATGGATGGTTCAAGGAGAGAGGGGAGATTTATCTCACTTTAATAGTGGTGACAGAAAAGCAAAATGGGACTTCATAGACCATTTAGTCCAATACCTTCATTTTACAGATGAGGAAACTGAGGCCTAGAGGTATTAAATGACTTGCCAAAAAAATTAGGATTCAAACTCAGGCCCAGTGACTGGAGAGTTAGTTTCCTAGATTGCCGTTTTTATTGCCATTGTTTAAATTATGAACATTTTTTTGCTTCCTTCTCCCTCTGATTTCTAAGACTGAAGAGTTAACAGCAAAGTCAAGAGAATTTGAGGCCTAAGCCAAGGAAGACTGACTTGTCAATGTAGAAAACACACAACTACAGTGCCTAAATGATAAGATACTAAATTACAGGTAGTCAGGATTGAA